CTCTGCCTTTCATCTCCTCCAGCAGCCCACGCTGACAACTGTAAATGAGATTAGACTTCAAGGCGTGGGGCAGATGCAGAACCCCCTCTGTGTATTGCCAGGAGACCCTTGTAGCTTTTAAAGGGTCTTTCCCCTTTACAATGCACAGCTTGGTGGAGGGGGAGAAGGGGGCAAATTTCTTGTCACGCTCACAGAAGTATCTAATCTAGCAAACAAGGCAGACCCTGGTTTTAGGGCCTGGATGCTCATCTGTTATCACCATAGAAGGCTTCCTACCAGCACCTCAGATTCTCCAGTTCATGTTAGATGAAACAAGTCTCTGACTATTTCCTAATTCCAGTTTCTATAACCTCCTCTTTGCAGCACTACTCCACTTAAACGTGGCCAGATGTCCTAACAAGTACTAATCTAAAAAGGCAGCGATAGTCCAAAATTTAGACAAGGACTTGAAGGTTGCATGCAACCCTGTGCTCAACCCCTCTGCCTATACTACTGCTTTCACTGCCACCATTTCCTATTCCCCATCTTGCAATTTCTGCTCTTCCTGCTCCCAGCGACCCACGCAAACCTGTGGTAAGACACAATCAATTTGTCAGAGAAAGTGGTAAAATCTCCAGGCAGAAACCACTGCCTAGAGCTCAGAGACACCTGCCTGGTGAGGTCTTCCCACCACAGCCAGCAGGAGTTTGCCAGCAACAGTCAGGGAAACTTTTCAAAGTGAAGCGTTACGTTTATCTCAACAGTGCCCCAGTAAACAAACTGGAATTTCTTTTACAGTATGGGAAATAGCTCATCCTGCCTGTGTTAAAGGCTATCCAGAGAAAAGGTACACAGTTAGCATAAAAGATCATTGAGTTCAAAATAATTCCCTTTCTCGGTTACCACCAGTCATGGTCATAGCTGGCCTGATTTTATGGATTGCTTTGCAATTTCAATCGTGCAGGAACCAGCCCTGGACTTAAGATGGCTTCCAAGTCAGCATATATGCAAGCATATTTTAATGTTTTATGAGACCATGGCAGAGCAGGTTCATCTGCACCCACTGCTGGTAGTGTCAGCAACTGAACTCTTCCTGGCAAGTGTACGTCTGGTCCAGGAAATCTCTACAGCCTTGTTTCTAAGCTCAAGTTTTCCATTAGCTGCCTACACAGACTGGGTAACTTGGCATCTCTCTGCATTCCCCATAAACTCTGTTCATCTGTTGCCATCACACCCACGTACAAGTCTCAGGAAGGAATCCAGGGTTTCTAAAGCAGCTGCAATAAAAACACAGCCTGGATTGACAAGCAATAGGATCAAGGTGCTGAGCCAGTGAGGAGGGTCTTTTTGGAGAGTTTTGTGTATGTCTATTTAAAACAAGTTTGTTGTCATGACTACAAACCAGAGTACGGGTGAGAAGTGAGAACTCCGAGATGAGGGCTGATAATGTTAATTCACCCTTGAAATCTCAGCAGGGATGGGGAAAACAGAGAAGATACAAGCTCTTGGCATCTAACAAGGCTAAAAGCCACCTTCAGAAGGCAGGTCTGTCCTAATAATGAACATCATGCTCCTAAATAGCCCCTTCCACCCAGCACAGCCAAGGGCTGGATAATGCCGATTAGCTGCAGTCATCTCTAAAGCAGGGGCACTGGGGACATGGAGGCAAAGAAGGGCACCCAAGGCCCTAGAAAGGACATAGCAAAGCAGGAACAGACCCTCAGAAGACCCATCTGCAGACTCACCTCTAACCACCAAACAACTTGGCTTCAACAAGGACAGTGAGATGTTCTCATGTCTGCACACAAGACAACAAGGGATCTTATTAGCACAGAGAAGTGTCAAACTGTCAGGACTTGCTCCTAGGATTGTCATATTTTTCACTTTACCAAAAGATTAACAAAAAAAATGGGGTTTTGGCCAGTGAAGAACAAATGAAGGAAACCCCAAGTGATTGGGGAGGGATGGAGAGAGGCAATGCCTTGCTCTGCTCAGAGCTTGGATTTCATACGGAAACAGCGTGGAACACTCAGCGACAGTGCAGGCTCTGCAGAAGGCAGCAGATGCGGAGCTAATGTGTGGGTGTGGGTGGAGGGTGTTTATGAGCACAATAAATAAATGTATGAATTCCTATAAAAGTTCCCATATAAAAGTGAGTTAGAGCTGCCCAAGGGCCATGGCCTTGTAATAAAAAACGCATCTCGTAAGCGCAGTATGAAGCAGCAGCTGTACTGTAACTGCCTGCCTGCAGCACTGAAAAGCCGTGTGCCTGCCTGCTCCCAAACTCTTGGGTGAAGTGCTGACCCCACTAAATGCAGGAAGAATTTTGGTACTTGCTTCAGCATAGTCAGGATTTTGCCCCAGGAGGGGCTTCTTTGAACCTCAAGGCCTAGGAAGCAGTTCTGGATCTGCCTTTTTGCCAAATTTAAGTTCTTTTACTTCTTAAAAAGAAGCAAACTGCAAGTGGCTGGAGATACTGGCTTGAGTCACTGACAGTTCCTAGTGTGACAGATTAGAGCTGGATCAAAACAAATAAAAAAATTCCTCCAGAAAGCATTGTCAGTCACTCCTCTCCCCCAAAATAAACAAGCAAAAAGCATTGCTTTATGGTTGAGCAGTTTTCATCAAGAAGTTTTTAATTTTTAATTTAAGATGCTGGTGGGGGTCATAAAAAAACCCCAAACCCTTTAATTTTGTATGTCTAAATAGAAACCTGCTTTTTTGTCAGTAAACCCAAATAAAACTATTTTAAAAAGTCATCGCTCCCCCCCCAAGCATTAATAATAATCTCTTTCCCCCCCCCAAAGGCAAGGGGGGGGGGAAGGGGAGGGCTGACCCCTCCCTCACACCATTTGCTGTCATACTCCATCAGCCCAGAAACAAGAGACTTGCAGGCTCCCAGCCTATGAAGTCCCAACTGCTCTAACACTTTCTCCAGAGCCTTCTCTTGCTCTGCTGCTCTCCTGGGAGGTGGTGAACATAGAGGCCCACATGTCTCAGCTGAGAGGATGGCTATCAAACTTCAGTCCCAGCCCAAGAGTCACAAATGCACAGGGCATGTATATCTTTGGCCATCCATTTCCACTCTAAGCATACATAAGGCCAGGTCCTGTCTCCCAGGAAGAGATGCAACTGTTCCAAGTTTCAACACACAGGCTTTCTCTAGTTATTAAGACTGTCCTCGTGTTTCACATGGATGCCAGTCAGAGATAAACAAAGCGCTCCCCTCTCCTACCAGCACAGAGCTGCTGGGAATAGCAACCTTGTTCCATGACAAACAGCATCTTGCAATTCACTGCAGGGCTAATTGCATTGCGTTGCTGATATAACGCTCAAGGAAGACGTCAGCTCATTGCCTTTGCCCACAGGCAACAGGAACGTTATTGATTTATTCAGGACTTACGACTAGTTGTCACAGGTTGCATTCTTTTTGATAATAAAGCCTTACAGACAAGGCTTAAATTTCAGCTGCAGCCCTAATTGAAACATAGCTAATTACTGAAGGTCTGCCTTTACAGCCCATTCCCTTGTCACTGGGGTAATGTTCTGTAAATCCAACAGTCAAACTCTCCCCTCCCTTAAAAAGAAAAAAAAGAAGGAAGAAAACCCCCATCTACTATTCAAACAAGTCCAGTGGGAAATTACAGATTCCTCTCTTTGAGGCCGATGTAGCTACCAGCCAAGAGCCCCATCCCACAAGGACTCAATGACTTCAAAGGATGCTTGTAGAATCAGACTCCAAATTAAGGCCAACATTTGAGACGGGGGAGAATTCAAAGTGGCTGAAACAAACATTCAGCCCAGACCACAAGCAATTTATCTTGCATCCACCTTTTGAGTGGCACCGTACCATACGAGCCCCCGCAAATTCAAATACACTACACAATTTAGATGTGATCAACAATTATAGTAAACTAATTCCCAGCTGCCAGCTTGCTTGGCTGTACAACAACAAATGTACTGCAGTCCAGACACATGGATTAGCAGTCGGTCACGGCTAACCGGGTATAAATGAGCACTCATCAGAAGAAGCAGTCCAGTTATTAGCTGAATGATAACAGGACCCCCAGGGTACCAAGGACATCCTTTTGCAGAGACTGCGCCACAGCTTTTGGCTTTGCAGTTCAGCCAGCAGTAGCAAGATTATCGCCTCATAAAGCAGGGTCGAAATCCCATCCAAACTTTAGTAATGCCAGGACAATGCCAGCATCAGAGTAAGCTCCCTTACAGAAGGTGACACTTACACGCACACACAACAGCACAGAAGTTTATGACATCAAGAGAGTGCTGCAGTTTAGAAACAAGTCAACCCTAGAAAAATCCTTCAGTTTATAGCTGCTTCACATTTCAACCTGGCAGATGGAAGGAATACCACAAAGCAAACATGTCAGTTAAAGCAGCTAAAAGCGTAATTTACAAACTAGAATCCACAACCCAAAATCTCAGCAGCTATAACTCAGAGCTCTACAGAGCTGTGCTGATTTCAGGCGGCTACAGATCTGACCCAAGGCATTTACTTGATACAACCATAGTCTTCGGTACAGAAGCAGATACTTTGCTAATTCTGTGCAAATTTCAAGCAGCAGTTCCTCCCTGGAGGATGTAACCCCACAGAAGTCAGTTTAGCAGCTGAGGAGCAATTTCAGGAATACAGTGCTGGTTTTACAGGTCCTAGTTTGCCTGCCTCAGAGAGTAGAAGATCCTTTAATCCACAGAGCGAGGATAGCACAACTGGCAGCAAACAGAGCACCTGCTGCAGCACCTTGGCTCAGACCCTGTGCTAGGAGGGATGGCCAGGCTGGGCCCACTTCTGTTCCTGCCTACTCTGAAGAGGAATTGAGAGAAAGGCCCAAAGCAGTAGTGATAAATATTGCACACCAGCATCCTGGGAAATGGGAGCATGGAGCACGTTACTCCTAGACTGTATTTGAAATGCAGGGAAAATACAGTACAGAGGAAATTAACTGGAGGTTAGACCCTTTGCTCACAAGACAGAGACAGTATATCAGTTGTTCACATACCTGATCAAATAGGGCTTTCCAGTGCTGAGAGGCAATGCATAAGGGAGGAAAAAGAAGAAAAAGAAGGTTTAAGAGCAACAACAGTAACATGCAGTAAACTGTAGAGTATATTCTAACAGAGAAATAACCAAATGATTTAGTGCCATTTCCAACATCCTTCTTCATCCCAGAATCACCTACCCTTCCGGGGGAGGAGGCAGGGGGAATCTACCAACCACAGGGAAGACAGTTTTCATTTACAAATCCAAATTAGGATGAACTCAGAACATTCATGTGTTAATTCTGTTTTCTCCCGCTTTGTCTACTTGCAGGCAAGCAAGGAATAAAAGGCTTTTTCACGCACAGGGATCAAGAAAGCTTGGTGTATGTTGAGGGGAGGGAGGAGTTAGCAATGGTTTTTCAGATCACTTTCTGAGGTCCTGTGGCCCAACACTGACCCACAGACCACCTTGCCAGGTCAGAGACTTGTCTACTCCCTGCTCCTAGTTCTGGCAGGGACTTGCTGCAAGGTCTTTGATAACCCATCGATTCTTTGAACCTCACATGTCCACATCTGAAAAATGGGTAATTCCTTTCACGCAGGGTGAAATGCTGGAGAGAGCCCATTTCAAGGATTTACCCCACAACTTTGGTTCTAGCAGATCTGCCTTAAAAGCTCTGTATAGGAGGAAGCTCCACTTCAACACAGACGACCATCTGAACACTCCACAAGTCCTTGTCACTTGGGAACAGAAAAAACAAGCTGGCAACTAGCTCTGATTTGTACTTTGTAGAAAGACTGATGTCAAGTCACCTCCCTGCCCCAGGCTTGCTGCCTAACAGTCCCATGGAGCAGAGGAAATTCACAATGAATTGTTTAAGTTTCTCTCTTGTCTCTCCTGGATTTGGGAGCCAGCTAAGAAGAGAGCAAATTCCATGGGGCAACAGCAGGGTAACCACTGGCTTGGCGTCCCCAGAAAAAACCCTGCCCATTTCCAGTTCTCCTGTCTGAAGTGCTGTTCAGCACAACAATTTGTTTCTGCCTCATTCATCTTCCCAGAAAAGCAAAATGAGAAAAATAACAAGCATCAGACTCATAGAAGCAAATCTCCTCACTGTGCTCTATGCAAAGCAGAGCTCTGGTGAGAGTTTTATCTAGTCCTGGAAGAACATTTCCTTTCACATGGTAGGCAGATCTAAAGCAGAGTTGACTGGAGAGATAGTGGGATGTCAGACCACTGAATTCCATTTAATCAGTTAAGTTGTTGGCTCCACCTCCTATCCATTTATAAACTCCCACTTATCATCATAATTCAGCCAAGCACTTTAAACAGAACATTTTGGGACTGCCTGAATCCTGGCTTTGTGAAACACTGCTCCGAGAGCTGTAATGACATCACAGCTGAGCTGTTACACACTGTCAAGGCTGCGACAGCCAAACCTCCACTACATAATATTTTTGTGGTTAATAACACATAAAGAGCCAACCTTGTGTCAGTTCTTGCTGGCCAAGCCAGAGAGCTTACATCAAGCATTCAAATGTAATAGTAACAACAGAAAATGAATCCCCGGTTAGATCTCAGGGGAGCACGCTCCTATTGTGGAGCA